AGGGAAGCCAGCAGAAGACAGCCAGGGCAGTAGGCGCTGTATGGCTTGGAGGTCCCTATATTTTATATCCACTGGTAAAAGAAGCTGTTGTTCAGCAGAGGTATCCGGTTCGACAGAGACCCACAGCCTCCCTCCCCACCCACCCCAGCTCCACCATAGCCCATAAACCCCCCCCAGGGGCCGCAGGATCTGCCAGGAAAGCTGCGGGACGAGGGAGCACAACACCCGAGCAGAGACTGGGACACTGAAATAGGGAAAGCAAGTGTTTATAAAGGCCAGATACCCGTAACAAAAATAAATTTGTGCTTTCCCTCCCGCCCCACCCTCACCTTTTTTTGATTTTTAAATACATATTTTTGTTTAGGAAAAAATGGAAGCACCATCTGTTACAAACCAAACCAAAAAGAGGAGAAAACAGGAAAAAAAAAACAAGGAGAATTAAACACCGTGGAATGTTAAACAGGTTATGGGCTACCGTTCTAGCCAGTGCGGTTAGGCAGCTTAGTGAATTAATTGCTTAGGAATTAAAAATAAATTATTATAAAATAGATTTCTGTACATTTTACATACATATATATCTCTTTATATACGCAAACCGTGCTGGGTAAGTAATTACAGGGAAGTTTCCCACGCCAGCCTCAGTCCCAGCCAAAGTCCTGCCCCGTCATCTGGTAGAACTTCATGTTGAAAGGCCGGTAGAAGTCCCGCAGTCTTTGCACCACCTCTTGGTCTATGTCGGGGTGGGTCCTGCCTTTCGTTTTCCCCAGGCAGTGGGGTTTGCTGCTGCCTTCCGCCTTCTTCAGGCACGGGAAACCCTTGGTTTTGTTGAAGTAGAAGTGTTTGTCCGTGATGATCCTCTTGAGGCCCAGAAAGTCCTGGACTCTGCCCAGCTCCCCCGCGGGGTCGCTGATCAGCCTCTCCCCGCTGACAAAGAGGATCTGCCCGATGGGGAAGTACAGGAGCCAGTTCTCCAGGTGCTTGGCGTAGATGCCAATCTGGATAGCGCTCCACGAGGTGTCGATCAGGCCCGTAGTCCTGTTTTTGAAGGTCAGGCTCTCAAAGGTGGGGATATCAGGCTTCTTGGAGAGTGTCTGGGTGTAGTCCGATATGGCTCTGGTCACGGGGTCCCGCACGACCACGATAAGCTTTGTGCCCTTGGACATGGAGGAGATGCGGGCCGGAGCCTCCTTGGTGACAAAGTAGCTGGGGGTCTTCTCCATGGTGATCTGCCCCTCGAGGGTCCTGGGCATGAGGTCCCTGCCGGACAAAAGACACACACACACAGACACATACACACACTGGTTAGACGGGCAGGGAAAGGGGAAGGAAAAATGCATATATACATATAAATATATATACACACCCAGACACAAATGCACAAGAATTTTCCTCCCTAAAATGCCTCCGCAGGTCATTTAGCCTGTACAGATAAATCCATTTTCCAATGATTTAGGGATTAGGGGGGATTATTATTAAAGGCCACTGCATTAGAAATCCAGCTCAGTAATCTCCCGGTTATCCACAAGTGGATTATCTGGGCTGTACACCACACCTGTAGCATGGCTAGCTGCAACAGCCCTCTATGAATCAGGATGAGTCTAGAGCTGCATTTTGCATGAATCTGGGCCAGACGGCTTTCCAGGCTCAGGCCGACGCCAGCGTGGGAGAATGGAGATCCCTCAGCCCCAGCCCATCCTCCCACGTTGCCCAGAGGTTCGTTTCCCCCAGGGCAACGAGAGCACCCACGTTGCGCAAAGGCTGACGGTTGCGGAGCACATCCGCCCCTGCTTTCACTTGGCCACACAAACTCAACACTTGTCTCAGGTCAGGCAAGTGAGTGCAATTTGTGCTTACAAGCGCAACGTGGCATGTGTCTAGCTTGTCCCAGCAGGATCCCACGCAACCCAAGAGCTCCACATCCTCCTAGTTCGATGCATTTTTAGCCTTCCCCAGGACTGTGCACAATCATTTCCCAACAGGCACTCAAAGGTGCATCAAGAGATGCCTACAGCATCTTAGCATGACCCAGCATCCAACGAGGACGACCTATCTCCATGCAGAGCGCAACATCGGCCCAAGAGCAGGACTTACCCTTAAAAATACACCCTTGAAACCTAAATCCTTGAGTAATTCCACCCTATTCCCCTGGCTCACGGGTAAAAACTGGAGAGGTTGCAGAAATGATGGAAGTGGTTTTAAGGAGGAAGAATGATTTATTTTTTTTCCTAACACTCACTAAGCAGGCCTAAATATTTTAGACCATTTGGCAATTCTTTCCCTTTATAACCCAACGGGACTCATTTGCTCTGGGCTGCAAGACAGTTAAAAAGAGACGAGAGGGGAGTCTGCCGCAAAATTAAAGCTATAAAATGTGATTAAGTTTTCAAAACAGCACAGAGAAATGACCAACTAGTGTGTGATCTTCAAGTTTTAAATAGCATTTACCTCGGACGTACTATACTGCACACAGAGAAGCTATTCGTTCCCAGAGGCCAATCTCTTCCCTTACTGTGTTTTTATGCTTCTGCAGCACTGCTCACAGCAGGCCCTTTGCAACGCAAAAAGCCATCAATGACTCGTATTAAATCCAATGGTTGCCCCAATGAAGAAGCCAAAGGGAAAAAACCTGACCCATCTAATCTGAGGCCAAATAACAGCAAAACCAGGAACGAATGGCCTGATTGAATCAAAAATCACAGCATGCCTATGCAATTTGGTCAGAAGCTTTTTTATGCACCTGCTATAAGGGTATTTTACTCCATTGCCTCCTGGCATTGACCTTACTGTACTGGCAAGGTGCGCTCGAGTCCCAACGCCTCTAGCCTCTGCATCGCAGATGAGATGAACTGTTGCTGAGAAAGCCCCTTCTGTGCCAGCCCACCATGCAAGATGGCCCCCATGGCAAATCTGTGCGAGTCTCTGGGAGAGACGGCAGAGCAGCCCATCGACGGGACTACCCGACCGTGGGCGATGGGGGTATTAGCTTGTAGAAACCTCCAGGAGGGGTAACCCTCCAGCCATAGTTTCAAGGTCGGGCCTGCAGTTAAGCACAATGTAAGATAAAATGGTCTACCAGATACACGGGAGAGGTGACCTTCTGGAAGTCAGAAGCCAGCCTGTGCCAAAAACACTAACCAAAATAAAACTCTGATTAATCTTTTGCCTCTCTGGCTACCTCTGCAAACCCCTAATGGCAGCACAGAACAGAGCCAGTCAATAACGCTCAGAGAATAACTCTTAAATCTAACGTGAGCTGATGTGGATTTTGACAGACTACTCATTAAGTGGTGTCTCTTTTTATGGCCACATTAAATCTGAGTTCTACATCCTGCGCTGGCCACAGACTGGTTTCCAGCTTGATTTAAGAGATCAGTTTCCACCCATGAAGTCCTTAATGGCTTGGGACCTGCCTAGAGAGGAGACTGCTTTCCAAGATGTGCTCGGCATGGCAGGCCTGGCAGACAGTCATACTGAAGCCCTTCATGGCAGTCAGTCTGTCAGGTCACCCTCTGTATGGGTCCCCAGACCTTGAGACCGACTTCTCCTCCAGGGCTACTAAAGCTAGTATTTATTAGTCTCCAGGGAATGACGCAAGACTTATTTTTTTCCTCCTTGCAGAAGAGAGACACTGAGTTGGGCTGGGCCACTGAGCCATGTGAAATGCAAGAGGAAATTGCTGGGGTGGAGGTGCTGAGTCAGTGGATCTGGTTTGGGAAACAGTGGCTCTTAATTAGCATTTCAACGAACATAGGTGAGTGCACCAGTCCACTCCCTAGAAGCGGAAAAAAAACAAGGAGCACCTCTTTGTCCACCTTTTTGAATGAAGATCCACCAGCCTGACCTCAGCACCTTCATGGACCAGTCAACACCTGAACCTATGCTCTTGACTTGTTGCTGAGTACATCCAACCTGTCTGGTTTCTGATATGAGCTGAGGGTACTCAGTTCTGCGCAGGTTTAGACCCCCAATCTGATATATTTGCACAGCACCCTAAAAGGAGCAAGGCTGTGCCAAGCTCTCTCTGCTGCACCATCCTCAGGGCTTTGCAGATGGGTTTCTGCAACTAGGAACTTCTCTGCTGACCTTGGTCAGCAGAGACTAAAATTAGTAGGGATAAAAATGGGGTCTCCAACCCAAGAACAAGAACCAAATCAATCAAAACTTGCCCTCCAGACCCTTGCTCCAACACTCTCCTTCCTTCATTGCACCTAGACAGACGCCAGGCACAACCTAAGACTAAGACCCTCAAGATCATCTCAGACACTGCCTTGTTTAAAAAGCGGCTGCGTAAAAGCTAGACAACGGAAAATGAAGCCAAATACTGCAGTCCACAGATATGGCTTGAATCGCTGACAACATCACATCCAGGAAAGCAAATTTCATTGCACAGGCCTATGCACAGCGAGAATCTTTCCCGTAGTTTCCATAATCTCCCACAGAGGCTTCATCTGCCATGCTGGCAGCTGGAGACAGCAGAGCCTCAGGGACAGGAATAACTGGTAAGTTTGCTGGTCGACACAGGTAAAGATGCCACTGAGAACAGTTTATTCCCATCCAAACCACAACTAGAAAAGGGCAAACTGATCCACATACAGCACTACAACTCCAATGCAACACCCCAGACATAAGTGTTAATGGAAGCAGGACCAGACCCTGCTCTGAAAGCATCTGCTCCTGAGGCTCCAAGAGAGCAAAAGCTGCAGTAAACCACAGACATGGCAGAGCAGGGGGAAAAGGAGCCAAAATGGCCAGAGCAGCTGTAGGCACAGTGTGCTGGCAGGAAGTAACCCCCTCGGGTGAACGGAGAGAGGGTCAGCAGAAACCCACGTGAATAACAGCCCAGTGGCAGGTGGACAGAGCCACTAATGCTCTCCACAGTTCAGCACTGGGGCACCTCCTGACAGCTACGGCGTCCTTTAGTTCTGTGGAGGTTTCACAGACACTTTGGAGACCTGGGCAGCTTCTGCCCTCTGTTTGGTGCAAGATAAGAACTGCAGAGGTACCTCCACCACTGTTGGCAGTATAGGTGTAGAAAGGGAGATCAGGAGGGGAATTAGCCTGTGGGAAACGGAGAATTCAGCTGAGCCTTCATATGAAAGCAGACATACCAGTCAGGACAGGGGCTAGATGGAGACACAACAGAGGGCTGCAGTGGATACTGAGGTGGAAAATAAAGATAGTATGAAAAACTTGGCAAGCAATCCATCATCTTGTTATCCCTCTGCCTTCTGGCAATCTGGAATTCAAAGACCTCTGAAGCCAGCAGTTGCATCCAAATCATCATACTTAATATTGACTATGAAGTGTCTAATCTTTTCAAGCCCAAGAGTACACTTGGCCTTGAGAACATCCCACAGCAGAGAGTCCCAGCACTGAAGCACTGCCTTTACCCATCCTTTGAACTGCTCTCCTGCTCTCCCTGCTCGGGGAAGGGTTAAGGCACCTGTTTTAGGAGCGTCAAAGAGGAAAAGCCAAGACGACGAACACCAGCAGACACCAGCAGACTCCAGCATCCCTCATTCACCGCTGAGCTCGGTGGGCAAAGTGCTGGTGGAGCTCAGCGCAGCTCTGCTGACCCCAGTGGAGCCACAGCCTTACGTCGGCGGGGAACTGCCCCCGAAAGTGCCCGGAGACGAGTCTCAGCATGATGAGGGAGTTGCTGTGTGAGCATAGCTATGAATTTTCCCCAGGCAGAGAGCAGAGCCCCTAACTCTGAGCTATTAACATGTCAAGAGAGACAGAGGAAAAGCTTTTTCTTTAATGAATATTTCCTCAGTGAAGCCTGCATCCTTCGTAGGCGAAGTGATAGGCTTAGCCTAAAGATGGATTGGCCTACTTTACCTATTAACCACTTAGACTAATGTAATAAAGGGTCTCTTTATGCAAACAGCCCTAATCCCCAGCCCTGTGCTGGAATAAGAAGGGATGCTAAAACGAACCTCACCAGGCTGCTGCTTGGAGGGGCACCGGGAGGGTTTTTTTTGTTGTTTTTTTAATCATCAACTTCTCTAATGCGAAAAACGGACCCGGCGCAAGATAAATTTACAAAGTCAGAATGACAGGTGGCCACACGGTAATCCAATCGTGCAGCCTAATGCCCTTTGTGGCAGCTTTTGTCTGCACAAAGGGACTCGCAGCTAATCTGCTGACACTTTGCAATAAAGAATATGGAGAGGGGCTGTGGTTGGGGCCGGGAGGCGGGGGGGCGAGGGGGGCTTTACAAACTGGCGATCTGTTACTCGCTTGTAACTAGTCGGCAGGTACAACAGACCTGTACGACAGGCCGGCTCACTAGCCATGCAACTGGAGCATGGCGGGACCTGTGGGGTAACCCAACCGGGAACCCGACGGGAGGACGGCTGAGGGCAAGGACATGTATCCGCCCGCTCTCCTGCGGTGCACGCGCCCTACCCCAGGGGAGATTCCTGGGCATCGGCTGCCCACGTAGCCCAGTGAGTCACATCTGATACCAAAGCCCTGATGGATCTCCCTGCCAAGAGGCCAACCGGGAAACACACCTGTAACCCCGTGGCAAAACCCCCTTTGCGCGAAGCACGGCAGTTGTGACCGTTTCATCTCCAGGGATGCCTGGGAAGAACTTTCGTTCCCTCCACGCAACCTCCCTTGCTTCCTGTTATTCAAAAACACCAGTCACCCACTGGGCTAAATCCAACAGGGGATTTAAGGTGCCTAAAGCCTCTACCGCGGTGCTGACTCATCCCAGGGCGGCTGCAGACTCGGCCGCCCCCGGCCGTCTGCCCAGCCCCGAGGTGACCGTCAGGCTGCGAACTGCGACCGAGGGAAAGCCCAGGCACCAGGCGCTCCAGTGGCTCCTGCTCCTGGAGCCGTCCCCTCTGGGGACAGCAACCCCTCCCGCGGGGACGGGGCCGGCTTGGGTGCTGGAGTCGGAGCGCCAAGGCGGATTAAGAATTGTCCTTCCTGGGGAGGATTTCTTACTGAATATATCCTTTGCGCTACCCTGAAAGGGACCAGGAGCAGAAGCCAGCTAGCCAGAGGCTGGATTCGCCCTCCGGCCATCGCACATGAGCTGCCTCCGTTTCCTCCACAAGGATGACAAAACTTTGCTCCTAGAGGGAGAAGGAGGAGGTAGGGGTAGTTGCGTATCGGGTATTCTGCAAACAAGAGAAGTGTCGTGATTGGTAGGATGAAACATCTAAGTGTCCATCAACCTCTTCACAGCCTAACAGGCCAGATGCGAAGCTCGGTTCTCTTGCTGGTTTTACCGTGCTCCCTGCTGCAGCTCAGATACTCTGAGAAGGGGCTTTTGCGCAGGTTTTCTAGACTTCACCCCCAGCTGCTTCCTAGGAGCAAGGAACATACAGGAAAGGGGGAAAAAGCAAGCCAAGCCATTTTGGACTTCGGCCACATTCACGCCAAGTTCAGGCCTGCAATCCAGAACCAGTTGCCTTTCTGCACAGCAGTGCGCATTCAGAGCATCCAACCGGTTTTGGGCCATTTTCTACCCAAATTCCTGACTGGTGTTTCAGGAGGGCAAGAAACACTCTCCTTCCATTAAACTGGTATTTGGAGACCTGGTAGTTCCTGGGGAAAGTACCCTCAAATCCTAACAACAGGCAGTCTAACAAACCACACAGACTAGACTGAAAGCTTATGGTGAGAAGGTGAACAGAAATGAAAGAAGCTAAACAAATACGTTTAGACCAAGTGAGCTAATTCTAGTGGTCTTGAAAGAGCTGGAGGCACTGAGAAAAGGGTGCCTATTGGGAGCGGGGGGGTGATATCTCCATCACTGGCACCAAGCAGCCTTGCCGTCCGCTTCATCCACCCTGCCGGGGCGATAACCAGGTGTTCCCAGTCTCCGAGACAGCATGTTGCTGACAACAAGCAGGAAAAATTTACAGCGGCTATCAAAGCAGCCAAGGGCCAGATTAAAAACACCGCCTTGCAGCCTTGTAACGGCGCCTGATAGCAAGCGAGAGCTCTGAAAGGAATAAGGTCTGGGAAGCAAAAACACAGTCTAAGACAATAGCTTTATACCACCTTTTGTCTTGAAAATACTGTATTAGAGCCCCATTTGAAGCATCTTTTCTGCAGGCAGGGTCTGAGCCAGCTCCCCTCAAGAGCTCAGCATCATCTGCTTGGCTGCCATGCTGGCTACAAGCAGACGGTTCCTGGTGCAAAGCACCTCCAGAATTCACACTCATTTCCATGGGAGCTGATAGCACTCAGCACCTTGCAGGATGCCAGCCCCCGCCGCTAGTTCAACACAGCGGCATCAGGCAGAAAAGCCTGGAGTCAAACAGAAGCCGCCATGCTCAATCCGCTCTAACCCCATCCGGCGCTCCTTAACGTGGGGCTGGCCCATTGCACCAGTCCAAACGTGCTCAACAACGGAAGGACAAGCCTATTCCCAGCTTTACTGGGATGCGGGGGTCTTAGAGAGGATTTTGAAGGGCTTCCGCCCCCATCTCCCTCCTGCAGGGTATCACTGTACCCAGACCACATTCACTGGAATTTACTACCAGCTTTAAACTGGCTTTACAGAGCTTAAATTATGCACTGTTATCTCCATTATCACTAGCTAGCAAAAATCCTTCATATTTGTTACAAGAAGCCAAAAGCTGAAACAAGTCAGATTACTACAAAGGCCTTTAAAATCCATGGCAAATTTTGCAAAAGACTTTAAAGTCACCGAAAGGAAAGGAGTCCCAGTCCTTCCCACCACCCACCGGCAGAAGGAGGTCTCTCTTAGAAATACCGCACGGTTTAGCCAGCCGCTCAGAAGTTGGACATTTTAATGGCTGCTCTTCCTTCCAGCTTGATAATAAAATGTTCAAATCCCAGAAATACTATTTTAAAGCAAGACTCTGACAAGTCCCGGGAAAGAATGTTAAAGTAATAAAGCGTTTTAATTACATCACGGAGTCTGCCATCAGCATCAAGGTCAACGGGCTTTGAAATTACCACTTGGCTTTGATTCTGCTTTCTTGTGGCAGCAGATCTGGATGGGGGCAGAAGAAAGATGAAGGAGGAGGAAGAAATGGAGAGAGAGGAGGGCAATACCAGATTCCTGTCTTGGGGTAGGAGAACACGCAGGTTTATTATTTTAAACCTCAGATTTTTCTTACCACTTGGGCTGCTCTTGTCTCTTGACGTCGCACCAAGGACCTGTACAGTAGCACCATGGCCTCTCCTCTTTTTATTACCCGGCAGTGAGGGCAACATGTGTGCCTTTGTCTCAAGTGGGAACCCATTGTTTGGGTTGGCAAATTATACAACAATAAAACGGAACGGCTGTGAACCAGCCTCGGCCTTTTTGAAACGGGTGTAACTCTATCCAGCCCCGTCAAACACTTGCCATGACATTTACACAAAACAGATGATGGGAATTAATGAACTTCAGGGGTGAGCAAGGGGGAGATAAGGGAGGAGGGAAAAGGGGAAAAATAATTGGGCCTGAAAGTCACCTTCTTCTCACCCTCCTCTCTCCCTGCCCCAGGAGCTCTGCCAGCTCCCCTTCACCTGTTGGGGGGTTTGGGGATTAGGGGAGGGAAGGAGGGAGAGGATAATAGCGTGTGAAGGCTCTCCATCACAAAGCTGCTCCAGGGCTTTGATGCAGCTGAAGAGCCGGCACCCAAGTTTCCGTGGGAGGCACAGCCCCACGCCGTGCCAGTGCCCTGTGGGAACGGGGCTCTGTCCTCAGCTGGGGGCTCTGAATTCCTTTGAAGTGGATGAAAAATCTCATCAAAGGCTGGGGAGTGAGGGGAGATTCAGAGCACTGGCAGATGGTCCTTTCGCCTTGCGCTGCCTCCCTGCTAAGACCCAATCCACGCACGCAAATCTGGCTTGCGCCAAACCGCCCAGGCAAATCAATGCAGAACAGTGTCCCGAGTAGGGTACGACGCACTGCTGTTGTTAGCTTTTTTGAAAGACTTTACGCATCCCCCAAAACCACTGCATTCGGCAAGATCAGACCTAAGCACTGCCCCAGCAAGCCAGCATAGGAAGTCTGATCTTCCCCTCTTTGCAGGCGAAGGGAAGGGAGGCAGCTTGCCCAGGTGCAATAACAGAGCTGAGAAGACCCAATCAGCATCTCAGGCTCACGTTCAACCACCTAAGCACACCACCAGGGCTGTGCATGGTCACAAGAGAAGACTTACAGCGTTAGTAGCTGTCTGAGCTCCTGATCGGGACTGAGCTGGATGTGACCACAGGCTGCAGGACCTGGGCCATGCACAAACAACGGCTGTTGCCTCCATGACACCAACCTCTCATTCGCCCAGCACGATGCCCTGTGGCCAGCCCAGCAGCACGACAGCTCCAAACTCCACCACTCCTGGACTGAAAGCCGCCAAACGAGAACCCAAGTACAGACAGGCCCCAAAAATGAAGCACGTGGGCAGGTTAAAACTCTTGCTTCCTGCCTTTCTTCTTCGCTCCAATGGCAAGGGCTGGGACAACCCCCAGTAAGAGGTGAAAGCCAGGTCCTTCCAAGGAAACAAGGTTGATCAAAGGCCAGTATCTAAGCAGACCTCAGCTACGCATCCACCTTCCCCTTTCTCGGGGAGGCAATCCGTCCACAGCTTCCTGCCATGAAGGGGACATCAGCGTTGGCTGGACGAGGTGGGAGGAAAGGAGGTGACACTGGTAGAAACGAGCTTCCCAAAAACAACAGCTCAACAGGGCAAAAGGAGGCCTCAGCAAGACACTCCCAAAGTCACGCGTGGGAACATTCAGCTTGTTCTGCCAGGAGGCATCGAGAAACGACACAGTTGGAAACACTGCCTGCCTCCAGGGCCGGCAAGAGACAGGAAGGGAGAAAAGTTTACGGCCACTGAATCAGGTGCCACCAGCAGCTTTCTCCAGCAGTTCATTCCGTCCTAGGAACGCGAATCACTTTTATGTGCAGAACCAGTCTCTGCCGCAAAGGTTTCCTCCAGACACCCGCTCCCGCCCACCGCGTGCCAAGGCACTGAGCCACATTGCTTTCAGGGCTGACCCAAATGCAAGCCAAAAAAACACTTCCCTCCCAAATACCTCCCCCACCTCGTAGCTTTGAGTGGCATAATTAGAAGCGCAGACTCGTAACCAAGATAATGACATGTTATCCCTTGTAGGGCTGCAGCTTAGTATAACTAAGTGCCGTATATGGCGCATTGTATAACTATGGCCTATAGGGCAGGGAATAACTTATAGCAGCAGAAACACTTGAAGCACTTGAAAGCAGAAACACAACTTCACAAAGTCGCCTTTGCAATTGGTGGGTAAGACATGCAGCTGTCGCTCCGAAGACATGGTAGAAGCAAAGTCACAAAGCCATTCTTTGAGGTCTGGAAGCACCTGGATAGAGTGGTGCACCTTCTCGCTGCAGATCTGGAAGCTTTTGTTGGGAACCTCTGTGAGGAAAGTCTCAAAGGGTTGGGGATCAGCCTGAAAAGCTCGGGAGAAACATACATACTCTATTTGCAGATGCTCCTAAGAACGCAACTGCAGGCAGCAACCCTTCCTCCCTTCTGCCTGGTGGCCAGCTAACCAGCTACTTGAAGTTTGGCAAGAACAAGCTCTGGTGGCAGTCGATTCAGAGCTGTGTTTTGCAGACTTCTCCCAACGCGAAATATATGTAACTTTAAAAAAAATAAACAGAGAACCCTTTTGCTGGCTGGAGTCACTGCTCACAGCTGTCTCTAGATCAGGTACTCGCACTGGGGCAGGGGCCAGAGTTGCTCCTGGGTCAGGCTGAGCCTTCTTCTAGCCCAGATCCCTGTCTCTGATCCTGGTCATAAGAGGACCTGGGCAGAGCAAGAAGCTGGCAAGCAGTACTCCCCACTCCCCCTCCACTCTCCCAGGCTTCAACTAAATTCAGCTCAGGGACTTTCCTGGGCCTGATGCAATTTGTCTGTCTAGTAACCCTCGACAGATCTCTCTTCCTACCCTTCGTCCAGGCTCCTCTTGAACCCAAGTAAGTTTTCTGCATGCATGCCCTGCTCTAATTCCTCTGCTTGTGTGTTGTGCACCAGCTCCCAGCTTCACGCAGCAGCCCCGTTCTTGCACCAGGAGACACCAATCGGCCCATCTCTGCCCACTATCTCCAGCCCCGCTCACATTTTGCAGACTACTGCATCTGCCCCCAAGATGGCTTTTTGCTAGGCTGAGGACTCCTCACACAGAAGCTATTCCAGCCCTACGGAGCAAATCCCAAACAGTGCCACTGTCATCAGGTGGCTCTTGTGCACCGACCGAACACACGCTGCAGAGACGTGGGGCTTTCCTCTGGCTCGGGGTGGGGGGAAAATCCCAATTATTTCCTCCCCTCCTCCCCCAACAACAGCCTGAGAAGTTAAAACTGGCTCTGCCGGAGCCAGGCGAGAGGTTCATCAACTCCGCCAGTTCATTATATAGGCCCTCCTCTTTATGTAAACACCGAAGCCTCTTTCTGTCCCCCGTCCTACTTAAAAGCTCTGAACTTCCACTACATAATGATCTTCACTCGGGGAGGGGAGAAGGGGGGCAGCGCTTTACATATCAAAGGGCTGCTTTGGAGGGATTTACAATAATTTTAGATGAAGTGGTAAATATTCTATTCACTTCAGTTCATCGCCAGTAATAATTATAATCCTATTAGCAAGGTCCCCAGAAAGTGATTGCATTATCATCCAGCGAGCATCTATGTGGATTTTTGGCGGGGGCGGGGAGGGGGGCCATAATCGAGTAAAGAAGTAAAAGTAACAAAAGATGCAACGACCAGCACCTCCCTTCCCCCAGAAGGATTTGGTCTCTATTGTCCTAACGCTTCAATAGTGCTTTGCTCTGAAAGTAAGAGCTTTTGGGGGCAGTAAGGGGGTGGGGCCGAAATGAGCATCTTACTCCTTTCGGCCAGCCCCTGCTTCCTTTCATGCCCTGCGAGATCCCCCTCCCGGTCCCTGGCAGGCAACAAAGAGCCCGAGTCCCTGTTCCCCGCGGGCCCGAGGGGTGGCCGGGAGCCATGCTTCGATTAAAAGCTAATTGCTGTTTATGGATGAGTTCTTTAGAATATCGCTGGGCACTACCAGGTCGTGTGAGATTACTCTGACCTGTCTCCATTTCCAAGTAAGTAAGTAAATAAATAAATAAAAACAGCTTTTGTTTAAAGGAAGAGTGGGGAGGGGGCAATTCTGTGAAACTCGTAATTTGGGGGGAAAAAACCCTCAACCCAGCAGGAAACATGACTGAGCTAACTAGCAAACTAGGACGAAAGACTTTTCCTAGCAGATCCACTGGCACAACTGTCTCAGCTGAGCTGTATGTCTTACTCCTGCCTGATGTTGCCTCTTAATACATCCTGTTGAAGTGTTTAACAATTCATCCCTGCGCTCGTGCCCCAACTGCACCAGTATAATCGCCTTCTCTCTCTTATGGCATCTCAAGGACACCAAAATTGGCCCTCACCACTTCCACCAAAAAGCTTTTCACCCCAGAGCACAGCTAGCTCAGTTCTGCTCAGTTCTTCTACGGATAGAAGTCCACTGGACGTAGGAGTTACACTGGCACAGGTCTGGGACAAGACAGGATCACCATCGTGGTGTCTAAGAGTTTATTGCAAAGCAGTAGAAACATTTTCTTGGTAAATTAAATGGATGACAGTCTGAAAAGGGGCGGGGGGAGAATATTAGGCATCTGCAAAGATCGAGAGCTCACAGCTCACTTAGGGGGAAAGATAAATTCTCAGGACTGCCTCTGCCTAGCTTCTGGCTCTTATACTGTCATAACCAGGAGGATCAGCCATTTCTCTTCCCTCAAAAATGTATAGCCCTGAGTTAACATTACGTTTCTAAGCTTCGGCTAAGCAAAGATTTGGTAGATCTACTTAGGCGTTATGCATTCACAGAAACAAGGAGCTCTGCTCTTGTGGTCTAGTGCAAAGACAGCATCCCCTTAGCAGCAGGGACGTGACTTCTTGAATGTTACATTACTTCCACACCACAGATGTATCTCCATCCAAAAATGGCAGAGGAAGAGAGTCAAGGTCTTGAGTTATCAGCTAAACTGCAGTAACAGGAAAAAAAGCCAAAAACCAAAGTGGGGCTATTGCAGGCTTTTGCTAGCTCAGCTTAAGCAAAGGAAACCTAGCTTGGAAGCGGTTTAAAAACAGATCAGCAGGTCAGGGCTGGTGGGAAATCCAAACCCCAGCACTGGCAAGTGAAGGTGATGGAAGTGGCCACTGCAGGGGAGGACAAAGGGCCAGTACTTCTGTCACTTGGGTTCAGCTGTCCCTAGACCCCTCTGATCTTGGGGCGGGCGGAAGGGGGGGGGAGTTGGCTTCAGCTCTGGGCTATTTTATACTGCTGCGCCATGGGAGTACCCTAACTCAAAGAGGAAAGTCACTGTGTCGGGCTGGTACCCTCACAGCACTCTGCAAAGGCAGGGTGCGTTGCCTGGGACCCCTCGGGCAGCAGTAAGGGACTTCACACTTCAGTTGAGGTCGCTGCAGCCCCACTGCAGTAAGAGGCCATGCAGCATGGCTGTATCAAGTCAGCCTTGTTCAAGCAGTACCAGCACCTTGGAGGGGCACGGGCAACACCCACACTGCAGACTTCTTGCAGAGACTCTTCCCTCTTGCCCGTTCCTTTCTCCCTCATGATAGACCGAACCAGACAGAGTTTGCATAAAGCTGAACCCCCCGTCCAAAAGATGCAGCCTTGGCATGTAATCACAGCTCTTCCACACTCTTCCTCAGAGACCGCAGTGGAAATAACAGCTGTCGGGAGATGGTCTGAGTTATCCCAAAAGATCTCGGGTTATGGAGGCTGTGGGTAGGAAGGACTATGTCTCTTCATGGGGCAACCTCTCGCACACACCAGTGAGGAGCCCAGCAGAAGGCAGGGCTGCCACCAAGGCTCAGCTTAATGCCGAGAGGGGACCATTGGGCAGCATCCTGCCATGGGTCCTGGTAGTGTTCATCCTTCAGCAGCACACACACAAACCAAGCAGAGAGCAGAGCCCTTAGCCCCAAACTGCTCCCACATTCACTGACTCGCTCCCTTAATTTGGAGATGTTGGAAACCCACTAGCCCACCACTCATCTGTCTTTTGGAGATCTCTTCTGCTCATATTCCTTAGGAAAGTGTCTCCTTGCTGCAAAGTGATCAATCAATCTCCTATAGGGTTTAGATAGTTAACTGTCCAGAAAGGACCCCCATGGACACAGGAATTTGGGTACTGGGGGAAGCTGTAGCAAGTGTTTAGGAGTGCAGATAGCAGCTCTGCAAGCATCATTGCAGACTGGCTACAACCTGCTGGCTTCTAGCTGGTGGCCCTGAAGCACCAAATACTTCAAGAAGCGGCACACAGCTTGGACATGTGAACCAAGTAACATGGCCGCTAATCCAAGCCCCTGACCTCTCCCATGAGAGCAGAGCTCATGGGGCTCTGCCTCTGCCTGTCCCTCCTCATGCAGCAGAACCAGCCCCCTTCCCCACCCCGGGCATGTCACAGGGCCCTCCCAGAGGGACACGTCAGGGGGCTGGACCCTCCAATTTACCCACTGCACGCGGCACGGGGAGCCCCTCCTACCTCCTGTCTGGAGAACTGAGCAGATCCAGCAAGCTTGGTGTCTCACACCTCCCACTAGGACATTAGGAGATATTTCTAATCCAGGAAACCTGTGGGAGTTTATCCCAGCTGCCTCATCCCTAAAGTCCCAGCTGTTCAAGGCCTTTTACAGGACCCCTGGAGGGTCCCTGCAGATAGTTCAGCATTTTTATGTGGTGTACTGGTGGCACAGCTCCCAGTGAGAAGACTGCACCTCGTTTTGGACCCAGTGGACATGTCCTGTGCATCAAATGCAGAGGAGAGACATCACTTTATGCTTCCACCCATACGGTGACAAAGCACCAGAGCAGCATTTGTTTAGTCATGTTGCATTAGCCAGACGTTTCCTAGAAAATAAGTTTGTTTCAAGTGAAGCAGCCCCTGCCTGGCTCTGTTCTAGGGTGGCAGCCCGCAAGGATTATGCGCATGCGGTGTTGTTACACCACATACTTGTAAATCAACTTTCCGGCTAAGTAGAGGTGCACCAGCGACGACTCCGTTACTCCTCTCTAACCACCAGAAGCTGCTAGGAGAGGCTGCCGACTGATGGGGCACGCAAAGCGAGCTGCTCTCTCGCCTACCGCGGCTGTGCCTGCCTTGCAGGAGCGGCGACCCATGGGCCACGCTTGCACTGCGGCATGGGACGACCCATGGGACGTGCTGGCTGGCTCCGTCCTGGGGTTAATTCCCCCAGCAGGAGAGAACAAGCTGCTCCCGTGATGCCTTCAGCTTCCCGGCACAGCTCTCCTGCGCCCCTTCCCCGCTTCCCACGTTGTCCCTCTCGCCTCAGGCACCAGAGCGGCCACGACACTACGCTTCACCTGCACTAATTTTGCTAGTTGGAGAGGAAAAAAAAAAAAATCCCCACGCACCAAAGAGCCAACCCCTACCTAGATGTTGCCCAAGTCAACAGCCGCCAAACAAAACAGAGCCAGCCAGATACGGGCAGGACCCTGGTTCCTCTGGTGCCGCGTTCATAAATCATCACCCCGCTGAGAGGTCTTTTGTGTTCTCCCCGAGCACATAAATTAACGCCCTAATCTGTGTGCCTGTACGGACAGGTAACAAGTCACCCAGATAAGGCGGCCTTTTGTTAGGCACCCGCGCGAGCGGCCTAGCGTTTGCACAGGGAGGGCTTTCCTCGCCACCCTGACACGCATTTCTCCTAATCGAGCCCAACCTTCCCACGCCGGGGCTTTACGGCCGCGATTAGAAAAATGCTTCCCGATAAGCCCCGGGCAGAAAGTCGCCCCACCTCGAGCGCTTCGGCTCGCGACCAGCCCCGCGCGGCGCTTTGCTGGAGACGCCAGCGCTTGACACCGAGTTCCTGTCGAGCTGAATCGCTTTTGTTCCCGGCTCCAGCGGGAGATTCCTGCCTCCCCCGGCCCCAGCGTTTCAAGCGTTGGGGGCTGCATTGAGCCGAGGCCAAGCCATCCTTCACCGGCCCAGACCTTCCTCCCTTCCCCCTCCTCTTCCTCTCACAATTGGGCTCTGTAATTCCCAGTGAAAGCAACCCCCTCCTTTCCCCCACGGGAGGAGCAGACCCGCCGCTGGGGACAGGGTATTAAACTATCATGCAACGGTAGGAGCCCCACAAAGGTCTGGTGCTGCGGTGGCCACCCGAGAGCCCCGCTCCTGCTCTTCTCCTTCGCTGTGAGATAACGAAGGAGGGAGGGGAGCTCATCTCCTCCCTCGTTGGATACACCAGGGAGCGAGGTTTTCATCTGCAGAAAAATTCCCTTTTTTTTTTTTTTTTTTAATGCCTCGGCACTTTCTCCCAGGCACAGAGAGCCCTGGGAGCATCTTCCACTTGACTGCCAAGCAGGAGCCGATCTGCGGCCACGTGCAGAACCAGCTCAGCCCCTCCGCAGCAGGGCTGCTGCCAGTGGGAAGGCCAGGGAGCCTCAGATAGATACAGGTATATACTTGTTAGAGCTGGAGGTCTAATAACGGCTTTAAAAAACCATGCATGATCTCCAGAAACCCATCTTCTGCCCCTAAAGGAATACTTGGCCAAAGGTAAGCAAGTGCCATCTCCTGAACAGCAGAGTCCTTTGAATGGCAGCTCGGAAAGTGGCTAGCTTCCCATTTTCAGCATCACCCTCCAAAAAAGTAACAACTTTTTAATGTCCTTTTTGCTCAGAGCTATATATGCATGCATGTTGCTAGCACAGGCCTAATGATGGTGGCAGGTTTCTGCCAAATCCCAACTGTATGGCTCCAACTGGCTCTTCGGCAACATCCAAAGCAGATGTCTAACTCTTTCGCACTGGGGTTTCTCCAGTTTTAAAGATAACGGGATGCTCGCTTTAACGGACAGAGCACAATTTACTCGAGTGGTGGCCGGGACTTGCGGTGATGAACAAGCTGCCAGAAGACTTCCTGCTACGTGGGAAGGGACCAACCTGGTGAGCACACCCTGCCCTTGCCTGGCCCAGCTTTTCTCCTCTAACATTTGTAAAGTGCTTTGACAACCTCACATGAAAGACTTTGATTTGCCACAAAACTAAGATTTTCTGCCTCAGTGCAAGATCCAGGCAGAGACGTTCGGGAGGGCTTGGGCCCCCGTCCCTTGCCAGCTGACTTTTCATTACCCTGACCAGCCAACAGAGTGGTTCAAGAGTTTAAAATTGGTTTAGACTTTACTCCAGGCTCATCTATCCAATTCGTGTACCCAGGTCTCCTGTCTCCTTCCCAGCAGATGTTCCTTGCTAAAGAAGGCTGGAGCCACCTCTGGGTGCAAGGCAGGGCTGGCACCAAGCACAGGCCAAACCTGCGGTAATCTGGAAACTGACTTGGCCAGCATGTACCACGTTAAGATGAACTATATTTGCCACCCTCTGGAACAAAAGGTCTAGCAAATTAATACACCGTTGATCCTCTCAGTACTGATCCCTAAATGCATTTTAACACAAATGGGATTGCTGTCTCGACCCGTTCATTAATGGATTTGTGATTTACAGTCATAAAGGAGTAGCCAGTGCATTGGATATCAAGGGAGCTCCACTGTAAACAGATCAGGCTCATGAGTGAGGACATGTTTGCCCCAGATTAGGATTTTTTTCCCCCCAAACAACTCTTATCATACCAGTATGTCCTTCCTTAGTCTCTCCCCATCCTTCTCACCCCCCCATATCAAACATCAAAAACAGAAAATAAAATCAAGTTCCAGAAGAAAGGAGTAGTGTACCAGGACTGCTGCGCATTGATGCAGGAAAGCTACGGGTTAGCAGTGCTACTCTATCCCAAAGCTGGTACCCAGCTCCACGAGGTTCCCAAACTAACGATAGAGAAGGAGTAAACAAAAACAGCCCTGGGAAGGAGTGAAATTCCCAGCAAAGGAGGGAGACAGGCACCAATTAGGGAAACATGAAGGAGCAGGTTTGTCTGCAGACTCCCCTTCTCCCCAGTCATTACGTGGGATCATGACTTGGTCACAGACAGTCAACTAAATACAGTCAAGAGCTCTTTAAAGAGCAGACTCAGCTAGTGAAGATGCTCCGCTGTAGGTACAACAGATGTAAAGCACTGCTTCTAATTAAAAAGGTATTCATGTAATTAGAGACTTAACATCGCCATACCAATGATTTGATCTAGTCCAGCACTCTCAGACTGTATTTAAGAGGGCTCTTCATGCTCGCCTTTCATTCCTGACTACGTGGGTCATCTTTCTTTGCAACCCTGCCCACTTCTCCACCAGGCTATAGCCCACCTTGGCGGCTGGGACAAGCGGGTCCGGAGCCACAGTGACAATCAGAAAGAACCTTACGGAGCTGAATCAAGTGGGCCAAACCCTGACAAGTACCTTCAGCATCTGACCTGGTGCAAGGTTTCGGTCAGGAGCAGATCCATCCCGCTAGCCAGGTCCTGGCCATGCTGTGAAAAAGGCGCACAAATCAACCCAGTCCCCCCTTGCCAAGAGCCGAGATTCCTTCCAAAGCCTACTACAAGGACGAATTATCCCGTAGTCCCTCAAGGCCCTCTACATAAAGAGCGCAGTGGGCTGTATGCTGAGGCCTTGGAGCACAACCCAAGTGAAATGACTTTTCCCTGAACACAGAGGAGCATGAATGAGAGCTATTGTTATTCAGATGAAACCAAGTGTCAGATTAACAAATCAATGGGCATAAGAGATATAAAATGAGTTACCATTGAAGCCTTTCAAATACCCAAACATATGGATGAACCAAATGTGAATTGTAATTGACTCACCCGCACCTTTGATCTCTACGCCCTTGGGTTCCCAAAGAGACAGCGGCGTCCCCCTCCGCCAGCTCTGAACTGATGGGGGCCTCCATTGTGAGCCCGCACAAAGCCTATTCTCTCTGCTTCCATCTCCTGGATGTAGATATATCCTGGCACTCAGCAATTGAGACAAGCCAGCTCTGTCTTAGAGAGGGTGATGGAGCAGAAGAACTCGACTTGAGTGACCCCACACAACTTCTCACCCGGCAGCCCCACAATCCCAGGGCACTTCTCCCCAGCAGCCTGCGCCACCCTCTCCTGCGTTTCGGCCTTCTGCACGCAGGCTCCCCTTGGAGAGGCACACGGAAGGGCAGTAAAGTCACTGGAGAGCAAGCCTGTGCAGTGAGGACGCGCACTCCCCCACTGCTCCCCAGAGCCAGCAGTGGGGTTGGTTAGGTCCTCCAAGAGTTTCACTGTATATAACTAAGGATCAGACTTTGCCAGCAATGTGTGCAGATACCACAAGCACTTGAATGCACTGCAAAACCTGGGCTGATACAGACGTGCTGGAAGTCGCTTTTCTCTTCTCCAACAGCCTCAACATCTGACAGCTCGTATCACCTGACAGCCGATTCTTCTCCTCTCTTGTTACTGTAGGTCTATTAGAAGTAACTTGGAGTTCAAATTAAACCTGATACCTAAATTCTTTCTTTTGGAGTTTGCAAAGAGTGAGCTTTAACCAGTTTTGGATAGATCTGAGAGTGTTAAAATTAAGCATTGCTTTTGATACCGTAGAAACCTGACAACTCTGCAAAAGAGTCACATGGCAAGTACTTGTTTGGCTTTTTGTGCCTCATTACAAACTCAAAGTTTGCTGTAGATCCTCCAGGAAACCCTGCCCAACTTAATTCTTCCATCTCCACGTTCCACACGCACACATGGGGTTTGCGTTTTTTACCCCACATCGAAATTCTCCCACCACCACTGTAGCAAACAAAAATTAAGCAGCTCAGTTCTCGCTGTACTGAACCTCGCAGCACCAGGAGTCTCGAAACTCTTGTTATTGAAGGCGAAACCCTGGTAGCTATTCCCAGGACTAGGCGCCTGATCCCAGGGGAGGGGATTCCCACCCAAGAACGCCGCACACGGCCCTTCTTCTTCCACAGCCGGAGAAAGACTGGGTCTGATGGGGGAACCCGGCGAGCCAGAGGCGTCCCCGAGCAGGCTCCGCTCTGTCCTGGTCGACTTCCAGTTCAGTCCCAACCACGCAGCCGCTTAACGCAGCTGATAACCCTTCCCGGGACGGCTGAGCGTGCAACAACTGCAGGGCTGACCCGCGGAGGACCGGAGGAAGGAAAGGAGCCCGGCCAGAGGGAGAAAACTCACAGGCTCTTAATCTCCTTTAGGACCGCCTGAGCTTGCTGTTTATATATAGCTTAATTAATTATTACACCACATTTAGCAGAGTGACCTTGAAATCATCTCTGGGGGAGCTAATAG